TTATAGTTTTTAAACAATTTCTCAAGAACTACTAATCCAAATGGGCTGAAATTTTAATATGTTGTAGCCCAATATCATCCCTATCTCTGGTAAAATTTTATCCAATTTGGATTGGTAGTTGTGGAGAAAATCACAGCCGGAGGTAATATAACTCAATTTATAATACAATATACAGTATACTATATACTATATATATTATATATAAATTAAGATTTTTATTACCTTCGGCTATGATTTTCTCAACAACTACCAATCCAAATTGGATAAAATTTTTACTGGAGATAGAAGTGATATTAGACTACAACATATTAGAATTCCAGCCAATTTGGATTAGTAGTTCTTGGGAAATTGCTTAAAAACTATAAATAATTGTATTAAAAATATTATATATAGTTTTTAAGCAATTTCTCAAGAACTACTAACTACTTATCCAAATTGGCTAAAATTTTAATATGTTATAGCCCAATATCACTTCTATTTTTAGTAAAAATTTTATTGAATTTGGTTTGGTATTTGTGGAGAAACTTATAGCCGGAGTTATATAAATATAGCTATAAAAAAATAATTATAAAAATTAAACTATATATATATTGTTTGCTTGAATTTGATTGGCTAGTTTAGTATCAGGTGGGGTAGAGTTTGGAACTGGATTCGCTTTTTAAATCCGGATTTATTTAATTAGTAAAAATCTGCATCGAATTTTAATTTGATTTTTATTATATAAATCTGGTTGTTTCTATATATGCGTCTTCTCGTGATAATACCAACTAATTTTTTTTTTTTTTTTATTATAAATTGCTTATATGCTGTAAATCTTTATTAATTAATATAGAACTTATTACAATTAGATATTACAGTGAAAGAGTTGTGCTACACTAATTACTTAATGACATCCACCCCAGCAATTTAGTCGTACTTTTACTATTTTTAGAATTTAACTAACGGCTATTACCTTATTAATTAATTTCTTAGTTGGCATACAACCTACCTATTTCTATACAAGATCTTCTATATTGTTATTGGTACTTTTTGTCCACCTATCTGCTTCCTGCAGCAACTTTTTTTTCTCCCAGTTTGGTTTATTCCGGCAGTTTTTCGCTCTTATTGCTCCCAAATTGGTTTACATAGCCTTATATTCGATTTAATACCACTCTAATTTGAATACATGTTGTGCTGCCGCCATTGTGTTTGTATTTCAAGCCCTCTTTTGGGATGCTGCTATAACACGATCTGTATCTTAAACCACAACCTTTTCCAAACGGACATGGCCAGATTTATCAAAATTCTGGTTGTTATTCTGTAGTATACCACTTGCAGTATGGGCGCCGAAGCTTCTTAATATAACTATATTATATGGGTGTACTACTGATGATCATTTTACTTCCAGCTTGGTAATGCAAGGAGGCCTGGAATCTTGACTTATAACGCACCGGCATAGCACTCATTACTGAAATTAGTAATATACGACTCAATACCTAACACAACTTCTAACCTTGTATAGTGCCAGAGGTGTTCCAAATCTAGTTAGGCCAATCCTTTATCACAAATCTTAACTATATTCACCACATTATCTGTTACTCTAGCTTTGGCACACTAGTATTACCCTCCTAATCAAGATCTCCAGACCACCCAGGGGTTGTTAGTACTACCCTGCCAAACGTGGATTTATATATGCAACCTATTTACCCCAAAACCTTCTGCAATATTGTACATAATGCCAACTCTCTATGACTAGATCTCCTTCCGGGAATTCCTATTCTAGATTCATACTTCACTTGGGCTTTCTACAGGGCTTCATATCTGATTATTAGCTCCTAACATTATAAAGTTACAGAGTTTCTTTCACCTCTAGCCTAAATCGAACTGTGGACCTTAGCTTATACTGTGGGGGTTTGGTAGCTTAACTACTAAGCTATAGAGCCCAAACCCATAATACCAACTAATTATAGTTAACTTTTTATTTATAGGGTTAGTTCTGTAGTACAATATAGTAGTTACAATAATTTTTTTTTTTTTACCAAATTTGAAGTATAGTAGTTTTATTAATTTCAATACTTTATTTAAAAAAACTGTTAGTATATTCTTTTTTATAGTTTTCTTTTGTTGATTCTAATCTAAGAACCATTTGCCACTTTCTAGGCTATTGCTGGACTTTTATTAAAAATTAATTATAAAAAAAAAAAAAAAAAAGATAATACTTAACAAAAAAAAAAAAACTATTTGTTATTCTCCAAAGGTGGAAACATAGAAAAGTATTTAGTATTCTGCTTTAAAAATAAATTCGATCAATTAAATCAGGTGCTAATCGAGTTCTTTTTGCTAAAATATTGTTTCTAGTATCAGAAAACAATTGTTCACTAGCAACTGACATAGCGGGGATTGAAAGGTATTTACATGCTAGTTGTGATAAAATAGAGTAATTTATTTGATACGCCTGCCACCAAACTAAAAGATTGACATTTTTTGGTTCTTTAGGATAAAATAAGTAATAGGTAACTTTATCTTCCGTTTGTATATTATTATTGGCCTACATTTTTGAGAATATGTCTTCATCATCGATTTGGCTTATTGTTGAATTCAGCACCTCAAAATGTTTATTGGTTAAATCTTGTTTAAGCTGAGTATATAAATTTTTTAAGAGGAACTCAGCTTGTATTCGTTGTTGTGCATGATCAGGTCCATTCATAAATGGAAAATTTTTCATTCTGGGATCCAATATTATTGCTAATAAAGAACTTTCATTGGGCATTTCCTATAATCTGTCTAGAGAAAAATATATAGTAGCTCGAACTTTTTGAACAAGATTTTCTGTATTAACTAGTGGTAAGTATTCAATTTGATTAACTTCTTTTTCATCTTGATTACGGTTATTAACTCGACCTCGACCTCAACTACAACCACGACCATGGGTATTTTTTATCTGTTGTCTAAATTGTTGACATGCACGCTTCCAATATTGTTGATTCCCTGCTGATGGAATATCATCATTATTGCTTGTAGAACTTGAATCACTATTATCATCATCATCTGAATTATCCTCTAATACTAAAGGCCTATAGATTAGATCTAAATAGTTATTAATAGTTTTTAATGTATATATATATGGATAAACCATATTTAATATTGGATATGTGGCACCTGATTATAGCATTAAAAGGTTCGAGTAATTTGATCATTTCTTGAATAAACCTATATGTAAATGAATTTATAAAATTAATATTGAAAAGAAAATAAAAACGATATTAAAGTAAATTTATAAAATGAGAAAAAAATAATAATAAAATAAATTAACTATTGCTATAAAAAAATAAATAAATAAATATAAAGCATAAAGTTAATTTTTTTGTTCTTATAATATAAAATTTTTTAAAAAAATGATCCAGTATGGTTATAAGAACCAAAAAATTAACTTTGCTTAGACTAAAAAAAAAAAATCAAAAATATATATATAGCACATTAGTTAATACATGTAGTATATCCAAGATACTATCTATCATTCATACTGTATGGCAAAAAAATTATAAATAACATTATCATATAAACTCTTATAATCATAGATTTTTTCTTGTTATTTTTTGTATGTTATTACATAAGCACAATCTTGAATTAAAACTCAGTTAGCCAATAATGACTTGTAAATTATGATCGTAATTGTACAATAACATCAATATTGGATCATGCAATGATATTAATCATTGTATGACCAATATACTGTATCTTATAATATATCAATACAATATATAAAGTAGGTTTTTATATTTACATTTTTTCTTCAACTATTAAATATAATTTTTTTTAACTTTTCTCCTTCTATTTGAGATATACGATCAGGCTTTGCTAGTAATGATGCTAAAACTAGACGAATTGAATTATGTAATTCAAGAAGTCTCTTCCATGCAATAAAAGTAGAATTCTATCAGGTTTTAGTATCAAGTAATACATCCAAAGGGCTTATTTGTAATTCAATATTTTCAATATTTCAGTAACATGATTTTTACATTAGCTGTTATGCCTGCTTTGAGGACTTAAAAAAAAGTTGCAAGCTTTTAATTCGTCTATGTATACTTTTATATTGTTTTAAACCCTTGTGTACAGATAGCTGTAGAGTATGAGCTGTGCAAGGTTGTTTTTCAATATATGACAAGAAATTTTTAATAAGCTTAATGGATTTCACCATATTTGCACCATTATTAGTAGTAATAGTAAGAATTTTGTTAATAAGATTCCACTACTGAATAACATTATATAGCTCCTCACTAATGATTTGGCCAGTATGCAAATGATCTAGAATATTGCAAATAAGTAAAACCTCATAAAATTTAAATTCTGAACTAAGCCAGGTAGCTATTACTCCAATATAACCATAATTGCTTCTAGCTATCCAAAGATCGGTTGTTAAATAAACCGAAGTAGCAGTATTGGAAAGTAAATTATATAATTTGCTTGTACTCTATAAATATGCTTCATAAATTAACTTTTTTGCTGTTTTGTCACATAGAATACAAAACCTAGTCTCGCAACTATGAATGAATTCACGAAAATTCTTATCTTGAAGGATATATAGCGGTTGCACAAATTTAATTATAAATTTAATTAAAAGGTGTGACAACACTTCTTGGCGAGTTTTATCACAATATAGTAAAAATATTTGACTTTTCTTTGGCTAATATAAATTTAAATTTTATTACTTTTTTTTTTATTGATTAAGGAGACCTCTTTGGCCTGAAAGCTTTTATTAGGATTTGAAACGGTGTTTTATATGCAA